AAACATCTTTCTAGTATTCAATGTTTTCAGCCAAGATCCATCTGACATCAACAATGGTATTCCTCTTTCACACTTGCTCATCTTAATCCAGCTTGAACTTCTGGCAGTTTCCTATCACTGTTCTGTTATAGCTGTTTTTTGAATTAAGAAAAACCTCAACAATAGTGAGGTTGGCCCAGGATCAGGCAGTATTTCGCTCTGCTGTGCATAAGGTCGCTATGAGTTGGTACTGATTCCATGGCACCTAACAACAACAATATCACTAACGAAAACAAAGCCAGGGGCAGCCTGTGGAACAGATAATCAATTGCACATATGCAAGTTCAGGATGAAGTTGAAGAAAATTAAAGTCAGTACAGGAAAGCCAAAATGTGACCTTGAAAATATCTCACCTGAATTTAGGGATCATGTCAAAAACAGATTTAATGCACTGAACTATAAAGATCAAAAACCAGATTTGTAGGATGACATCAAGAACATCATACAGAGAACAAACAAGATGGTGGATCAGATAGAAGTTCAGTGAGGAGCTCCGTCAGCAAGAACACTGAATACCGGACCAAGCAGGCTCAGGGTATGGTGCCAGAACTCTGAACCACATATAAAGGAATATTTAGAAGGTTGGAAGGCTTATAGTTAGGGGATTTTGTAGCAGAAGCTAGAAATCCATTGCTTTCTAATTCAAGATGCTCAGCTGCTCCCAGAGCCCCATCTTAGGAGAGAACAAGCAGGGGAAGGATCAGAGCAGCTCGGATACCTGACAGAACTGCGGAGATAAAGGTGTGGACATTCTTTTCTTTTTTTTTTTTAATCTGTTCATTGGTCTCTCACTGCCTGTGCACCTCCATTCTGGTGACTAGAGCAGGTACCTGAGCAAGTGGACACCCCGCCCCCACCCCCAGAGGGTTCTACTGTGCATGCGCACAGATCTCAAAATTCAAAGTGACAGTGTCCACTTAAAACCAAATGGCAGTGTAAAATGGCCACAGCCGGCCCTGAACTGTTTATCACTAGGAAAAAGGCCTGAACAGGGATTGTAAGTGTGACAGGCAGACTAAAAAGGAAGTAGGCCGAAACGAAATCCTGAGTTAAGTCACAACGACCAACAGTGGCATCTTGAAATTTCTCAGGAAGAAGAGTGAAAAGGGAAGCCCATCTCCTGATCACATCTACCTGGAGGCACTCAAGAAAGCATAAAAAATACCAAAATATACACCCATCTAAGTATTAAAGCCACGGATAATTCCTGAATATGCCCCAAAATAGAAACAGATGACCATATCAGCACACGTCCAGAAACGAGATAAAGTGATTGAGGCAAATGAGCTGGAAGTAAACCTACACTCCACTCCATACTAGAAGATGGGCAGACTTTGGAAATTCCTGAGAAGGAATTCAGAAAAATGGTTATAAAATGTATCAAAACACTATACACTGGAGTTGAGGAAAATAAGGAAGAAGTTAGGAAAGCATTACAGGAACAATCAAATAAGACAGACACAGCATTGGAAACAATTCAAAATCACAGAAAGAGGCCCAAAAGATTAATAATAGGATATCAGAAATGGACAACACACTAAAAGGGCAAAGGACTAGAACTGAAGAGATGGAAGCCAGAACTAGTGCTCTGGATGATATATCTCTCAACACTACTAGATAGAAAAGCAACACAAAAAAGGATTAAAAAATCTGAAGAAGCTCTAAGATTCATGTTGGATAACATGAAGAGGAATAACTTAAGAATTATTGGCATTCTGGAACAGGAACAATCACACAAGTCCACATAGGAGATAGTTGAAGACATGCTGGAATAAAATTTCCCTAACATCCCGAAAAGCAAAAAGATAAGCATTCAAGAAGCTCAACGAACCCCAGGAAGGATAGATGCTAAAAGTAAATCACCAAAACATAATAATCAAGTTCTACAAAATCAAAGGTAAGGACAGAATCCTGAAAGCAGCTAGGGAAAAGAGAAGTGTAACATACAGAGCCAAGCAAATCAGATTAAGCTTGGATTTCTCAACAGAAACCATGCAAGCAAGATGGCAATGGGAAGACATATATAAAACCCTGAAAGACAAAAAAAACCTGCCAACCAAGAATCCTCACTCAGCAAAGCTGTCAATCAAATATGACAGTATAATAAAACATTCCAGAATAAACAGAAGCTAAGAGATTTTGCCAAAGCCACTCCTGCTATGAAAAATATCCTAAAGGAAGTTCTGTGGACTAAGAATCAACAAGAACAGACAACAACGAGAGAATGACGTACGTGGCAGCATCACCCTGAACTCAAACGACAAATGGAAAAGTCAAGAACAGAGGATCTGGGAGGTCAGTCTATGATCAAAACAATTACAATGTGAAAGAAGGTAAACACAGAGGAACAGAAATCCAGGTGGTGAGAAGGTCTGGTAGATGACAGGATAAAATAGACTGTCTTAAATTGAGGGAAGAATTAATGGAATATAACATAACCACAACAGTGGGGTAGGGGTGGGGAGTTTAGTTCGGGTGTTGGGGAGGGCAATACAAGAAGGGGTAGGAAGAACAAGATTGATAGGGGAACACTAAGACAGGCTTGCATGGGCTAAGTGGGACAGAGGTAAATAGTGATACATGCTCAACCTTGGAACAACAGGGTCTGTGATACAGGGATTGAGGCATAGTTTGAAGCAGGGATATAATGTTAAGATGCTTGACTGTCTTATGAACATTGGTTTCCCAATGTGGTAAAAAATGCTGAAAATAAAAAATAAAATAGGACAAAATATTTATAGTATGTGTGGTTTGGGTGATTATTTTCTGTAGTTTCCAAATGATCTATAATGAGTATATATCACTACTACTAATATTAAGGAAAATATAAAAAAGTAAAAATAGAGCAACTGCTGAACACATGTGAATATGTCAAGTTTTTATTGTGGATGTTGGTATTGTTAATTGCCATTGAGTCAGTTCTGACTCATAGCAACCCTCTATAGGGTTTCTGAAGGAGCTCTGGTAGCGTAGTGGCTATGAGTTGGGTTGCTAATCTCAAGGTCAGCTGTTTGAAACTACCATTGGTTCCATGGGAGAAAGATGAGACTTTCTGTTCCTGTAAAGATTTATAGCCTTGCAGAGATGATGACGTGGAGAGATGGAATGGCTGGGGACTCTAGACCCAGAGAGGAAGAGCGGCTGTGTGCTGACGACCGAGGTGCAGGCTTGTGGGGTATACCCGTTGGCTGTTTGATGGTGCATAACGGGGATTGTAACCATGCCAATGAAACAATATACAATAGGATGAATGTAAAGCCAATGCTCTCCCATGTAAACTATTACATAATTCACAATAAAAACTTTTTTAAAAAAAGTATGTGCTCTTAAGTTTACTATACAGGCTGGTCACAGGATGGTGACTGGAACACTTAATTGTGCTCATGAGGAACCTGTACATGGACTAAGAGGCAGTTGTTCAAACAGAACATGGGAATAATGAGTGTTTTAAAATTAAGAAAAGTGTGTGACAGGGTTGTATTCTTTCACCATACTTATTCAACCTGTAGGCTGAGCAAATAATCCGAGAAGCTGGGTTCTATGAAGAAGAACATGGCATCAGGATTGGAGGAAGACTCATTAACAACCTGCAATATGCAGATGATACAACTTAACTTGCTGAAAGTGAAGAGGACTTAAAAATATTTACTGATGAAGATTAAATACCACAGCCTTCGGTATGGATTACATCTCAATGTCAAGAAAGCAAAAATCCTCACCACTGGACCAATAAACAACATTCTTATCAATGGAGAAAAGATTGAAGTTGTCAAGGACTTCATTCTTCTTGGATCAACTATCAACACTCAAAGAAGCAGCTGTCAGGAAATCAAACGACGTATTGCATTAGGCAAATCTGCTGCACAAGACCTTTTTAAAGTGTTGAAGAGCAAAGATGTTAGCTTGAGGACTAAGGTTTACCTGACCCAAGCCATGGTAATCCATATCAAAGGCTGTGGTCTTTTGATTACATTGTTCTGTTGTACATAGGTTTGCTATGAGTACTGACTTGATGCACCTAACAATAACAGCTTAAAAAGAAATGATGTTTTCAATCTGATAAACCTGGAACTCTGAATTACAAAATAATTTACACAGGCTGGGCTATAAAATCAATCAAATCAGCTATTCTGTTTGGTTTGTAGGTGAGGAGCATAACTTCCCTTCTCTTATCCCCTTTGGATGAGATTTCCAGAGAGGAACCAACAGGCTAGCTGGTGCTGAGAAGACAGGAAGCCCAGCTGAATGCTTCTTCCACCCATTCCTAACCTAACAGAAAGTTTTAAATTTTAAAAGCTTTCAAGCTTTCTTAGCGTAAAATAACTGTATGCAAAACTTACTATTTATTTGCTGATGTTGAAGTTTACTGACGACAGAAAAATTTAGATGTAAAACATTAGAAATTCTGTACCCTATATGAAAAATACTATACCCTATATGAGAGGGCTTCAAAAAGTGTATGGACAAATGGAATCAAAAGATAATGGAATTTTCCATCAACTTTCTGAAGTCTCTGAGTACCTTCAGCAATTGGAAATGATTGAATTATGGTATATCTGGTTGTTAAATACTGTCTTTCTGTGCCAGCTCTCTTCCTTTGCCCTCTGTTCCATTTTTGTAGTATGCATCAGGGCAGAGCCTCTAGTGCCCTATAGAAAGCAATCCACACCACAGCCTACTTCTCAGCGCAGCTGCTCCACTCTCAAGGGCATTCACAATTTAGCCGACCATTGATAGAGGGTGAGAGGCTGAGAACAATCTTGCTCTTTATGTGAGAATCATGGGCCCACAATCGAAAATGTAGAGGTAAACAATATATATTATAATATTTATAGGGCATTTGCTTTTAAAAAATATATATCAATTAAACATAAATCTATCATTCTGCCTCAGTCAAGTCAACCTGTTCTTGGGGTTTCAATCCTTGGAAGGAGGAAGAGAGAAAGAGGTGATTCAGGTACCTGATGGTTTTCCACACGTCGAAGCCATCCAGAGGCTTGGTGCCATTTGTGTGTCCTCCCGCCAGCTTCACCAGAGTCGGCAGCCAGTCAGAAATGTGGATGAGCTCCCGGTTCTTTATACCCTTCTGCTTCAGCAAGGGGCTTGCCACGAAGCCCACTCCTCGAATGCCGCCTTCCCACAGGGTCCATTTTCTTCCTCGAAGAGGCCAGTTATTGCCCCCAGCCAAAGTCTGCCCTCCGTTATCTGAAACACAGTTAGGTATTGGCATAAGGACAGTGGTAATCATTGCATACAGTTCAGAACAGAAGACTTCTGTGTACGTTGTTATCATATGGTGTTTGAAAAAGAAAACTCTTTCTCATCCTCTCCCATCTCAAATATCCTTCTTCTTTCACTCCACACTACCCTCCTACCTGTCATTGAATCTACCCAAACTCATAGCAACTCCATGTGCTTTACAGTAGAACTGCTCCACAAGGATTTCAGAAACTGGTTTTTTAATAAAGTATAATATCAGGTCTTCTGAGGCATCTCTGGGTAGGCTTGACCCTCCAATCTTTTAGTTAGCAGCCAAGTGTGTGTGCCATTCAGAGACTCCACTCTATGAATAAGAATGTTTCCTGAGTGTAATGGTTTGGGATAGACCCAGTTTTCAATGCTCATGTGTGACTTTCCATGTAAGTTGGGCCCACCCACCCATCCTTCTTACATTTAGTGACTTAAAGCTCCTGAGAAGTGGAGACTGTTGACCAGTTTGTTTTGTTTTTCCTTTTGGAATTTTTTTGTTTTTTTTTTTTACCATTTAAGCTGGTAACTGAATTAGCATTCTACTCCCTGGTGATCTTTTCTTAATTGTGAAAGTTGAAGATTTATCTAGTGGGCTAAATGTTTCTGTACACAAAGCAGTCAGCAGGAAAACTAATCGGGAGAAAAATTCCTCTCGACAGCATGGCAAGTTAAAGCTTCTTCATGTGCAATGCCAGGAAAGAGGTTTCACTTCCAAGACAACACAGGGAATAGAAATCTTGGTGAAGGACCAGTAAAAGTTACAAGAGTGACTGAAATCAGTATCTCACCAACCAGGCAAGTGTGCAAAATAAACAGTGAGATATATACATAGACACAGAATCCTGGTGTGGCATGATAGGATAAGCACTGGACTGCTTAACACAAGGTCAGTGACTCAAACCCACCAGTTGCTTTTCAGGAACCTCATACAGAGTTGTTATGAGTCAGAAATGACTCAATGACACTTAACAATAAAAGATATATATACATACACATAACTACAAATATATATATATACATATACATAACTACAAATATATATATACATACACATAACTACAAATATATATATACATACACATAACTACAAATATATATATATATAAAATATAGCGTAGTGGTTACGAATCGGTCTGAGAGCCGCAAGGTCAGCAGTTGAAACTACCAGCTGTTCCGCGGGAGAAAGATGAGGCTTTCTGCTCCGGTAAAGATTTACAACCTCGGAAACCCTGTACAGGGTCACTATGAGTCGGAACCGACTCCACGGCACATAACAACTACAACAACAATCCTGTTAAGTACCGTCGAGCCAGTTCTGACTTATTGTGACCCTGTATATGGTTCCCAAGGAGTGGCTGGAGAGTTTGAACCACCGACCTTGTAGTTCAAACTGACCTTGAGGTCCAGTGCTTTATCCCACAATGCCACAACACTTATTTGCATATGTAATGCACTTCAATGGGAAAAAGAAAAACAAATACTACTATACAAATGAACCACATGAGGGCAGTGTGCTGGACCTGTGTTATAGTATGTTGAATATAAAAATCTACTACAGAAATCAGAGACCTACCAAAGCCATAGGACACTACATTTGTGAAGCACCTACTATGTGCCAGGCGGAGTCCTCAGATGGAGCAAATGTTTAACACAGAGCTTTGAATCAGTTCATTCCAGTTGATTCCCCTGCTGAGAATTCCAATTCCCAGTAGCTCTGGTAGCATAGTGGTTATGAGTTGGCTGCTAACCTCAAGGTCAGCAGTTTCAAACTACCAGCTACCCCATAGGAGAAAGACAAGGCTTTCAGCTCCCATAAAGTTCTACAGCCTCGGGCAACCCTATACAGGGTCACTATGAGTCAGAACTAACTCCGTAGCACCCAACCACCAGCACCCAAGATCTACTGAATCAGGTGTTTCTACAGTTCAATACAAACTATACATAAGAATCACCTGGAAATCTACAAGGGGACTTCAAAAAGTTTGTGAAAAATGAAATGAAAAGATAACGGATTTTTCTGTGAAGTTTTTAAAGCCTTCTTGTATACGAATCACCTGGGGATCTTGTTAAACTATAAATTCTGATCCACTAGATCAGAGATGGAAAGGCAAATGGTCAGCAGGGGGTCAGACTAGAATGAACCTATTTAAAGCCTTGAATCAATGCACTCAGATCTTGTGAAAACTCAGCCACTGAAGACCCGAGGGGGCACAGTTCTACTAGGACACACATGAAGCACCATGATCTGGAGTCGATGGGATGGATGGCAACTGTTTCTGTTTTGTATGCACCAGGCACCATTTTGTACTCACAGAATCGAGTCTGACGGATGCAGAATAGGCCTGACTAGCTGCTCACTAGCTGGGTTACCAGATTCAATATGTTTGCCTCCGTTTCCTCTTCTTTAATGTGGCAATAGTCATTCCTACCTCATATGTTAAGGAGCTCTGGTAGCGTAATGGTTACGAGTTGGAGTCCTGGTATGGCGCTGTGGGTTAATGTGCCAGACTGCAAAGCCGTCTGAACTGCAAGGTTGGAGGTTCAAGCTTACCAACTGCTCCTTGGAAACCCTACACAGGGTCGCTCTGGGTCAGAACTGACTCAATAGCACTTAACAACAACAGCAACCACCTCATATGTTATGGGGAGAATTAAATGACGTCACTTAAAAACACTGCTGGGCAGGGTGCTTTGGGATAATCTAGGTGGTGATGGTATTTGTGGACAGTCCAGTTGGTTCCGACTCATAGCGACCCTGTATAGAGTTTCTGAGGCTATGAATCTTTATAGGAACAGAAAATCTCATCTCTCTCCTAATCTCTCTCCCATATGGATGGTTGGTGGATTCAAACTTCTGGGCTTGAAGTTAGCAACTCAACGCGTTACCCATTATGCTACCAGAACTCCTTGGTACAACCTAAGTGCTCAATAAATACCAGGACTCCAACTATTATAACCCTTAGGGAACTCTGGTAGCGTAGTGGGTTACACATTGGGCTTCTTGGTCAGCAGTACGAATCTACCAGCCACTCTGCAGTAGTAAGATGAGGCTTTCTGATCCAGTAAATATTTACAGCCTCAGAAACCCTATATAGGATCACTATGAGTCAGAACCAAACTCCACAGCATAAAACCACCAACACCATTATAATTGCTGTTGTTTTTAAGTTTTAAACTAACCCAAATAGTCTAGTATTGTACCCTCTTACTGCTAAAACAAAGAAAATAAACAACAAAACACATTAACAAGATTCTAAAAGACCAGCTAGTAATTGGTAAAGTTAGGATTCAAACAAGGTCTGTGTGGCAATCCCCTGCAGATCCAGTCATAGAGTACCATGCTCCTGGCGACCCCTTATGGATGTGGTTTTGTATTTCTATGTCACAGAAACTTTATATTTCTATGTCACAGAATACTGTAGACCGCTGGTCAATCTCAGCAAAGTGTACACTCTTCCCAAGACCCTGCAGAAGGAGTTATTTTAAGGTGATGATCATTCCCTTAGAGAAGCCTCTATCTCTGGTGGCTAAGAAATTCTAAGTCTCCACCACCAATGAGGTGCCTGACCAAGCTCTTAACATACCAGGTCCTCATTTGCTTAAAGAAACAGAGAGAAGAATCTTGAGTGAGATTAGATGAAGGAAACAATTCCTTGATACACGTGGTCTAGTTGACAGTCAATTTCATCATCTATATCAAAGGCTTGAAGGAGCTCTGGTAGCGTAGTGGTTATGAATCGGGCTGTGAACCTTAATGTCAGCGGTTTGAAACTACCAGCTGCTCCGTGGGAGAAAGATGAGGCTTTCTACTCCCATAAAGATTTACACCCTCAGAAACCCTGTACAGGGTCGCTATGGGTCGGAACCGACTCGACGGCACTTAACAACAACAACAACATATCAAAGGCTTACAAGAATCTGTCTTCAAACCTTGGCACATTTCTTCTTAGAAAAACTCAAGGCTCAAAAATTCACCCATACTACTTTATTGAATGGAGTCCTGGTGTGGCGCTGTGGGTTAATGCGCCAGACTGCAAAGCTGTTTGAACTGCAAGGTCGGTAGTTCAAGCTCACCAGCTGCTCCTTGGAAACCTTATACAGGGTTGCTATGGGTCGGAACTGACTCAACAGCACTTAACAACAACAACAACTTTATTGAATACACATTCAATTCTACACACAAGCTGTATATTCAAAACCATCAGGGGGCCCCATCTCCAGTAGAGGGAAGTTCCTCCATGTGCTCTGTTCATAGAGTACCAGTCACCCATAATTTACGTATCACATGTAACAGCGGAATGTTTTAACCAATGTGCCACCCGGACTTCTTCTCTTTCAATAAAATACTCTAATTACTTAACTGTTGTTGTTGTTAGGTGCCATCGAGTCAGTACGGACTCACAGAGACCATATGCACAACAGAACAAACCACTGCCTGGTCCTGGGCCAACCTCACAATTGTTGCCACCCTTGACTGACACTTTGACTGACACTTTGCCAATCCATCTCACTAGGGGTCTTCCTCTTTTTCTCTGACCCTCCACCTTACCAAACATGCTATCTTTCTCCAGCAACTGGTCCCTCCTGACAATACGTCCAAAGTATGAGAGATAAAGTATAGCCATCCTGGCCTCCAAGGAGCACTCTGGCTCCACTTCTTACAACATAGATCTATTGGTTCTTTTGGCAGCCCATAGAACTTTCAATATTCTCCTCCAACACCATAACTTGAAAGCATCAATTCTTCTATGATCTTCCTTATTCCCTGTCCAACTTTTGCATGCATATGAGGTTATTGAAAATGCCATGGCTTGGGTCAGGCACACCTTAGTCATCAAGCTGACATTTTTGCTCTTCAACACTTTAAAAAGATCTTGTGCAGCAGATTTGCCTAATGCAATACGTCGTTTAATTTCTTGATTGCTGCTTCCATGAGTGTTGATGATTGACCTAAG